AGAGAGAGAGAGAGTACAAAACAAGAAGAATGGAAGTGACGCTATAATATCTTACCGCAAAGGCCAGACCGAGGCCCAGAGCCAAGACAGCGATAGTTCTCAACATTGTAGAATGACGTAGTTGTCTTGTCAATTGATACTGACTGAGGCTTGAGTTCAGCTGACTCTTATATACTGTTTTAGTTTGGCCTTATCTTTCGCTGCAATGCCAATCTTGACTAAGATTATATGTACAGAATGTGGCTGAAATTATATGCATTTATACGTATATTATATATAAAAACTCGCACAAAAAAGTCAAGGAACAAAAATTCAAAGAAAGAAAACTGAAGAACAGTTTAACCGAATTTATTTATTTTTTCCCAAAACGATGCTTTCGACTTTTTAGATTAAGTGTGTACAATTTCAGGTTTCAACAGTTTAAGTCACACTGATCGGATTTCAAAAGTCTGAACAGCCATAGTTCTTCATGAACATTGTCAATAGTGTGTATAGCCATCCGTTAGACCAAACACTCAACACAGCGTCGACGCATGGACAGGACATGCCTTAGGAGAACTCATTGCGGTAGGTTCTGCCACTGCTGGACGAGGCAGCCCAAGAGTCGTTGAAAGTTTTGTGCAGGAGGGTGGTTGTCCCTTACCCACCGGTCAGTGTCATCCCAAATTGGGTTCAAATCAGGACTATAAGCTTGTCAGTCCATGCGGGTGACAGCTCGCTTCTGCACGAAGTCCTGCACGATGCGTGCGCGATGTGGCGTGGCGTTGTTGTTCTCCAGTACAGCCTGAAGTCCAATCTGCTGCAGGAGAGGAACAGCAAGGGGACGCAGGATGTTGTCCATTTACCTTGCCGCGGTCAAATTGCCCTGTGTATGGTACAGGGGGTATTGTGGTGAGCTGAGAAGCCTCTCCACACCAGAACGCCCCCTCCACCGTATGGCGCCACTCGCTGGATGCACTCAGGGTGGAATAGCTCTCCTCTGCCCCTTCAGACGTGAGCTCGCCTGTCTGGGTGCTGCAAGTTGAATCTGGATTCGTTGGAGAAGACCACCTGGTTCCAATGACGTCATGTCCACTGTGAAAGGCGAACAGACCACGCCTGGCCAGCTGCTTTGTGGGGCGGCGTGTGCCTTGGGCGCCTGGCAGGGACACGAGAAGCGAACCTGGCTCTTCGGATACGTTCCTCACCGTCTCCTCGCTCTCGTGGACATTGGCTATCACCCGTAGTTAGTCCCTGATGCCGTTTGTAGTTGTAGTTAGTGACGTCACGGGCTGTCTGACGATGAACCGGTCGATGCTGTCGTTCGTCAAACGGGTCGTCTTGGTCGAGGCCTGTCCTTGACCCTTCCGGTCGCTCGCCATCGTTCTTGTAGCCTCTATATGACTGATGGGGACAACCCAAGTCGATGTGCAACAACTGGGAACTTGGAGCCATCTTGGAGCCTGGTAAGGGCTCGTCTTCTGTCGTCAGGCAGCGAGAGTCGTTGGACGATCGTGTTGTAATGAAACATGGCTGAAAAAAGCTGGCTTATAAAGGGTTGTAAGTTAGCAATATGCACTGCTAAGGCATCTGTTTAGCACGTTGCAAGCTTAGTTTTAGCTAACAGTACCTATGCCAATGTTGCTGAAGTAGAGAAGTTTAGCCCATTTTTCATGCTTTTCGGCTATGTTTCAGAATGCCCTGCACCGTTACTGTGAAGCTGGTGCAGGCAAGGTTGCTGTACAGGCAAACTGTGTCTAGTCGTCAGTGTGTGTGCCATGTTTGGTTGACAGAACTTAACGGGTATGTGAGATATTGAAGTTTAAATTTGACGGGTGAAAACATAAGTTGTTCCTTGACTTTATATATATATATATAA